TTGCGCATTGAGACCTAGGACCGTGCTGAAAAGTCCCTAAACGGCTGGTTTGGCAGAGGTGGAGAGGGGCGCCTTAAAAAGTAAAGCGGAGGCTAAATCCCAGTTCAACAGTGGGACAAAAAAAAAAAAAAAAAACTAGTGTCGGGACATAAACAGGGTGGTGCTCCACTACACAACATTTCAGAAGTATTTGAACTGCATTGCCGCCTAGATGCATTTGGACTGACCTCCCCCCCCCCCCCTGGAAACTAAGCTATATTCTTCTCTCAAATTCACCTTTACTACCTACCTACTTGGCCTAAGCGTACAAAGGGAACCCCTGCAAGCATAGCTACCTCTCACAACCAAGGGGATGCATTTTGCCCCCTGCCCTAATCCGCAGTCGTCAGGGAACAGGGTGAGGCCAGTGGTGGTGTGGCCTTCGGCCACCGCCATAGATGGACAGCAGTGTCCAAGGCCAACAGTCTCTCCCTCCCCCCCCCCATGGGTTATGGCTAAAGACCCTACCAATACCGACCTGAGGGATAGAGCCAACTATCTGAGTTGGTTGGCACCAAGCGTGGTGCGGGCGGCTGGTGGGGATTGAACCCACGACTTCCTGAATGCCACTTGAGTGCCTAGCCAAGTTGAACCCACGACTTCCTGAAGTTCCTGAATGCCACTTGAGGCCGCTTGCCCTCTGCAGTCCAAAAAGTAGTCGGGCGCTATCGCCATTTCCGCTCACTTCAGCATGTCTGTTCCCGCGTAGCCCAGGTTCTGGTCGGCGTTTCCCAGAAAGGAACAGGCGGGTTCGCAGAGCAGAGTTTCGTTCACACTTGGCCCAGAAGACGTGGACAGTTTCGTTCACACGCGGTCCCCCAGAAGCAAAATAGGTGGGTTCGCGCAGCGTGATCGAGTGCTCTCTCTCTCTCTCTCTCTCTCTCTCTCTCTCTCTCTCTCTCTGTGTGTGTGTGTGTGTGTGTGTGTGTGTGTGTGCACGCGCGCCCCTCCTTCCCTCCATCTCTGTCTTTCTCCTATCAGCAGTGTTGTGCGCGAAGAGGGGGTGAGTTCCGTTCATACTCGGCGCGAAAACGAAACAGGTCGGTTCCCACGCGTGGCGAAATGCTCTCTCTATCTCTCCGTGGTCTCTCTGTGTACACCCGCCGTTCCCTCCCCCCGTCCATTTATTGTTTAGAGCTGCAACTCCTTTTTCGTGGGGGTGCTATTCACGGCGAGCTCTCTCTCTCTCTCTCTCTCTCTTTCTCTGATATATATGTATATATATATCGTCACAAAGATATCAGAGCGCAAAGGCAAAAAAAACAAATGGAAACAAGAAAGATATCAATTCATTCTTTAAGTGCTTACTTACAACTCCCCCTGTTCAAAACCGCCTGCGTATATGAACAGGGGGAGTTGTACGGAAGAAGATTAAAAACGAATGAAGTTTTTCTTGTTTTCCTTGTTTTCTTTCTGTTTTTTGCTTTGGCGCTCTGATATCATGTGACAATACATATATATACCTGCCATCCTCAACCTGTCATCCACGTGGCTGGCCTTGTACGTAAGAGGTTATGAACAGGTGGAGCTTTCCTTACCTCTTCCCCTTCCCCTTTTTTCCTTTTCTTTTTTTCTTTCCCCTTTTTTTCGCTTCTGCGCTCTGATTCACAATGTGACAATATATATACCTGTCATCCAGGTGGCCGGCCTTGTACGTAAGAGGTGATGAACAGGCGGAGCTTTCCTTCCTTCCTTCTTTCCTTTTTTGTTTTGTCTTTTTTCGCCATACCACTAGGGGGGGGTCATGCCGTGAATGCGGAGAGGCAGGCGGCAGCGAAGGAACACTAGGGGCAGGTCAGATACCTGGTCAGGTACCTGGTCAGGCAGGGAGGAGAAGGTGATCAAAGACCTGCGCCTAGAGATGGAGCAACAGTGAGAGTAGGGAGGTCGCCATCGAAAGTCTTGAGTGGCTGGAGTAGCAGGAGAAGGAGGGGGAGGGTAAGGATTGGAGATGAGAAGGATGAGAGGGTAGGGATTTAGTCGGTCGGGATGGGGATGCTGTGAGAGAGGAGGGAGAAGGAGAGGATATGGGAGAAGTGTGGAATGTAAGATTGCCCGCGTCAAGGTCGTTGTTTTTTTATTTTTTTTTTATTTTTTTTATATTTTTTTTATATTTTTTTTCGGTTGGAGGGGCGAAGACGTGGAGGAGGATACGGAAGTAGATGGGAGGAGGGTGTAGGTGGGGGAGCCAGTTTGTGAGGAAGGGTATGTGTAGCGCGGAATGGAAGAGGATTATGGGGGGGATGGGGGGGAGATGTAGAAGGATGATGTGGGATCGAGAGGATGGGGAGGAGGTCGGCATGTCAGCCAATCACGATGCGGATGCAGGAATCGATGAAGTTTCAGGAGAAAGAACATGAAGTTTCCGGAGAAAGAACATCAAGGCAACAGGTCGGGGAGGGGGATGAGGACAAGGGTGGGGAAGAAGAGATGGGAAGGCAGGAAGAGGGGCTCGGCGCGGAGGGAGGGGAACAGGTTGTAGGCAATGGAGAGAGGAGGATGTTGACGAAGGGCCTGACAGAGAGGAAGAGATAGGGTAAGTGTGGATATGCAGGTGGTGGAGGAGGAGAGCCAGGAGGGCGCGAGAGAAAGAGCGACAGACAGAGGACTAGAGGCAAGGGACATACCAGATCCATAGGCGCCATGTGGGTATTGGACACGTAGGAGCTCTAAAAGGATCCCAATTGAGGAGAAGAGAAAGGAGGAGAGAAAGGAGGAGAGAAAGACGGGAAGAGGGAGGCGACAGACGCAGGACAAGGAGAGAAGAGGATGGGGAAAAAGCGGATTGCTGGGGGAAAGATCAGGAAGGGGGATGGAAGGCACACATTGAAAGA